TTGAGATAAAGACCATCTGTTCCAATTTTCTGTAGGATTTTTATCATAAATGGATGTTGGATTTTGTCAAACACTTTTTCTGCATCTATTGAGATGATCATATGTTTTTTGCCCTTGGCTCTGTTAATATGGTGTATTGTATTTATTGACTTGTGTATGTTGAACCATCCCTGCAACACTGGGGTGAATCCTACTTTGTCATGGTGTTTAATCTTCTTGATGATTTGCTTCGTTTTGTTTGTAAGTATCTTATTGAGGATTTTTGCATCTATATTCATTTGAGAGATTGGCCAGCAGTTCTCTTTTTTGCTTGGATCCTTCTCTGGTTTTGGTATCAGGGTAATGCTTGCTTCCAGGAATGAATTTGGGAGTATTGTTTCCCTTTCAATTTCATTAAAGAGTTTGAGAAGTAGTGGCATTAGGTCTTCTCTAAATTTCTTGTACAATTCAGCATCATCAGAATCATTCAGGGCCTGGGCTTTCCTTTGTTGGTGGGCTTTTAATTACATCTTCAATTTCATTGATTGATATTGGTTTATTTAGAATTTTTATATCTTCTTGATTCAGCTTTGGTAATTCATATGTATCTAGGACTCTGTCCATTTCTTCCATGTTTTCCATCTTATCAGAATACATGTTCCCAATTGGCCCCTTTCCAAGATGGCTACCTGCCAATTGCTCCCTCCTGGGGGAGATCTGAGCCCAAATATCTCACCAGCCACTGCAGTTTGCTGTATCTATTGCTCCATTCCACTGGTACATTTCTCCGTGAAGGCCTCTGAGGTCACCAGTAGTCACCGTGCACCTGCAGGCTCAAGCTGCTCCTGCCATGCAGCAAGCTAGGGCTCAGGGAGAAAGTGCTGCTTGCCTCCTCCTTCCTCTGCATTGAAATTTCAATCTTTGCTCTTTCCATGGGCTTCAGTTCTCACTTTAGATCCTTCCTGTGTCCCAGGGACCCACTCTCCTCCTTCTTCTTCCTCATGTTGCTATATTCCAGCATCTGGACACCAAATCTCAGAGAGGTTGTTTTTCTGCTGTTCACTATTCTGCCATCTTCCCAGAAGTTCCCCTTGACTGAATTTTAGACAGGCTTCTTTGGCCTCTTTCTCAGCTAGGCTTCACTTTGCCTCTAAGAACCACAAAATCTGGTCCTAATATCATCCATCCTTCATACTGAGAAACTTGAGAAACACTAGCTGGATTCTTCACTCTGGGAGGCTTGACTTTGGAGGTTTCTAACTGTACTGTTGTCTTAATTTCCTTGTTTATTAAGTGAATACAAAAGATTGCCTTGCAAAATTGGTGGTGCACACTTGTAATTCTAACACTCTTGAAGGTTGAGGTAGGAGGATCGCAAATTAAAGCCCAGCCTGGGCAATTTAACACCTTAGGAGAGACCCTATCTCAAAATTAAAAAATTAAAAGGACTGGGGATGGAGCTCAGTGTGAAGGCTAAGTTCAAACCCTAGTAATGGAAAAAGAATCTCCTTTTTTACCTACCATAATGACAAAGGCATCTATTTTTAGACAATTCTATTTCTAGAAATTTATACACTTGCTATATTCATACAACTAAATTTGACCTATGTCATTTTCATTCAATGCAACACTTAAGATTAGAAGCAGTTGTAGGTCATACACACACACACACACACACACACACACACATATACATATATATATATATGTGTGTGTGTGTGTGTGTGTGTGTGTGTGTGATTCTGGTTAAATAACTCATGATACTTTGCACAGTGGAACTGAAGACTGAAGGCAAACATTAAATCAAAAGGGAATTCTCTGTATTGAGACTTTTGTGGGGGTGCTGGCTGGGGCACCAGCGCTGCAGAGCAGGAGCCATGCACCATACAGCTGCAGGAGATGTAGTTACCAGGACTTCCCCAACTGCTTGACTCTAGTCTCTGTGCAGGCCTGCAATCACAACATTTGGAAGGCTGAGGCAGGAGAATAACTGCAATTTCAAGGCCAGCCTGGGCTACATAATGACACCCTGTCTCAAAAGACAAAACAAGAAAGAAGAAAGAAAGAAAGAAAGAAAGAAAGAAAGAAAGAAAGAAAGAAAGAAAGAAAGAAAGAAAGGGGGGGGAGAAAGAAAGAAAGGAGAAAAGAAATCGGAGACAACCTAAATAATCCGTTAATGAATGACTAGAACTTTACGGTATAATCATATAATGAAACTCTGCCAGTGATTAAAAATTGTGGAGCATCAAAATGTACTACTGTACTCTCCAAAAAATATATTACAACTTTGCCATTTATATTCCTATACCTACATCCAGAGAGAAAAATCTCAAAAATATTCTATTCCATTTACTCCAGGAAATGTGTCTTGCCAAACTGTTCTGTAATAATTTACACCAACTGAGGCCTTCCCCCTTTTTAAATTTTAATTGACACATAATAATTGATATATGTATGGGATGCATTGTCATAACTGGATGCATGCATGCAATTAGTGATAATTAAATCAGAATAATTAGTATTTGTATTTTCGTCCCCTTAAATATTTGTCATTTGTGTTGAGAACCTTTGAACTCTTTTAGTTCTTTATATGTAATATTTTATATTTATATTTATATTAAAATAAAATAATAAATTATTATAAACTATGGTCAAGCTACTGTGCTTTAGAACCCTAGGACTTATTCCACCCAATTGTTCTTTGATACCCATCCTCTGACCTCCCTATATCTTCCCACCCTTCCTAGCCTCTAGTGACCACAATTTTACTCTCTCCAATGAAATAACTTTTTGAGCTTCCACAGAAAACGTGTGATATTTGCCTGTGTCTGGCTTATTTTACTTAAAACAATGGCATCCAGTTCCATCCATGTTAGCACAAATGACAGGATTTCGTTTATATCTATGGCTGAATAACTGTTTACATATACCATGTTTTCCTTATCCATTTATCTGTCCACAAACACCTTGGTTTATTCTGTCCTGGATATCGGGAATAAAGCTCCAATGAACATGATGGTGCAGCTCTTAGATAAGCAGATTCCTTTGGCTATATACCTATTAGTGGGATTGTGGGTCAGTTAGTATAGTAGTTCTATGTTTAGTGTTTTGAGAGACTTCCATGCTGTCCTCCATACTGGCTGTATTCATTTGCATTCCCACCTCAGTATATGAGTTTCCCTTTCTCTATATCCTCACCAGCATTTCATTTTTCTTTTTTCTTTCTTTTGATGCCAGGGATTGAACTCAGGACCTTGCGCTTACGAGGCAGGCAGGTGGTGGAACCACTGAGCTAAATTCCCAGCCCCCTCATTTTTCCCTTTTTGATTATCACCATTCTAACTGGAGTAATATGTATATCTCTGGGCCGGGGATTTAGCTCAGTGGTTCCACTGCCTGCCTTGCAAGCACAAGGACCTGAGTTTGATCCCCAGTACCAAAAACAAAACAAAACAAAAAAAAACCATATATCTCACTGTGGTTTGGATTTGCATTTGCCTAGTGATTAGTAATGTTGAGCATTTTTTCATATATTTTTTGGCCATTTGTGTATCTTTTGTGAAATGTCTATACAGATCATTTGCTCATTTTTTAGTTGAGTTCTTGCTTTCTTTTTTCCCTCTGCTGAGTGTTTCATGTTCCTTATATACTCTGGATATTACTCTAACAGATGAATAGACTGCAAGTATTTTCTCCCATTCTGCAGGTTTTTTCTTTCTTGACTGTTTGCTGTGCAGAGGCTTCTTGGTTTAACATGTCTATTTTTGCTTTTGTTATTTCTGCTTTTGGGTCTTATCCAAAAAATCATTGCCTGTATCTGTTTTGAGTATTTGGGACCCCCCCCCCTTTCTCTATGTGCAGGTCTTGCATTTAAGTCTTTGAGCTGATGGGGCGGGGGGGTGAGAGATCTGATTTCATCCCTCTGCCTATGGACATCCAGTTTTCCCCCAGCTAAATTATTCCTAAATGGACTGAGTTTAAAACAGAAGCCATATAATTACCTCTCTAAATTCCAAGTCAGAGTGAGGCTGAGGAATAGGCTCAGATTTGGGCCCAAGAAATCATGGTTTGTGTGAGGAAGGGGATAGGCAGGCTCCTCCTGGAGACTGAGTTTCAGGCTGGTGACATAGAACTGGGACTGGCATCCTGGCCCTCCTGCTGGCTCCACTGGGCTGCTGGGAAGACTTCACCTGTTGAAGCCACTCTTTCTGGATTTTAAGTACTTTGGTCCCTCCTTCTCCTGGATTTCACGATAATCCCAGCCTTGCCTTCTCTTGCTGAGTGTTTGTTGTCCCTGCTTGCTCCAGGCGGACCTGGGAGCTCTATACCATCTGGAGTGTTTTCATGACTCAGGAAGGCTAAGGAAGACAATATAAAAGCAGGGAAACTAATGCATGCTCATAGAAGTTCAAGTCTCATGAATAGTCAGGGCATTATTTGTACTGTAAAATACCCACAAAGCCAGTGTGATGGCACATGCCCATTTTACAGCCCTCAGAAGGCTGAGGCAGGATACGATGGAAAATGGGACCCAGCCTGGGAAGTTTAGCGTTTTAACAAGACCCTGTCCAAAAAAAAGCAAAGCACACAAATTAACCTTCCCTTTCTTCTGGCTGAGTTGTTATTCATCATCTGTCTTAAGAGTGCAACAGAGGTAACTGACCAAAGTTAAAGGCACTGCATCTGCAGAGAATACAATGCCTGACTCCTGTATAAGGAGTAAGAAATCTTTTACTATGGGGTTTATGTCCACGAGGCTTAAAGTGTCCCTCATCCCCAAATTTCAATGTAGTAACAACTTCCAGGGATGTTTATCATTAATCATGGAAAATAAAATCAAAGAAGAGTAGCCGTAAATGTGACTCACATAAGTTTTCAGGAATAAATTCACAAGGCACCCAGACATATGCTACTTAAATCTCCTCAAGCTAACCAGAAGCCCATAGTGTTTTACCTGGAAACTGTCACTGGCTAGTGAGGATCCTTGCTTTTAGTAATGGAAATTAAAACAAAAGCACAAATTTACAGGAAAAGCTTTAATTGGAAAGTTAAGAGAGAAAAGGACTCCAGTTTAGGCAGCTGGAGGTGTCACTGTCTATTACCAGGGTTCAGACTGGTGAGACTGGTCCACCTGCAAAAGATCAGCTGTTGGGCTGGGGTCCTAGGATCATTCTCAGTTCTGGTGTCATACCTCAGGAATCCTTTTGGCTGAGGGTCGGTCTCATTTCAGGTGCTTTCAGTTCAGGACAATGGCTCAAGACTTCCAGAAATAACTGAATGTCCCTGGAATGCCCCATCCTGATGTCCTCAATCTTGAAGGGATGAGATTATGTAAATTTAGAGCTAATCAACCTTGTTTTGCCAGCTTTTAGACAGACCCTCCCTAAATGATCAACACACCCCCATGCAGAGCTGAGATTTGATCTAACATTTATAGGCACAAAGAATACAAAAATCAAAGTCAAACTTTGTTTTGCTTTCGGTTACCTTTTGACATCTGAAGGCCCAAGTGAAAAGTAACAGTTCATAGCAGAAGTGGTTTTTAAGTTTCTGGCTGTCCCAGGAAAAAAAAAAAACAAACTTCCTGCTCTTAATAAGCAGCACTTACGCTGCCTGCCTTGCAAGCGCAGGGTCCCGAGTTCGATTCCCGGTACCAAAAAAAAAGAATGCTAACAGATTTAGCAACTTCAGCAATTAAGTCCAAATGTAACAGATACAAAACAAAAATAAAATGTACTTTCGGCCAGGAGTTTAGCTCAGTGGTTTCGACACCTGCTACACAAGCACAAGGACCTGAGTTCAATCCCCGGTACCAAAAAAAAGCAGCACTTAGGGCCCAAGATTTTGTCCATTTCCTCTCTCCTATAGTGATCCCTGACCATGTTATTGTTACCAGGTAGCTGGTCCTAACATGGTTAGATCTCAGGTTGCACTTATATGATTAACTGGGTCTTTTTTTTTTTTTGGTACTGGGGATCAAACTCAGGACCTTGCACTTGAGAGGCAGGTGGCAAAACCACTGAGCTAAATCCCCGGCCCTTAACTGGGTCTTTTAAAGAGTATCTTTTTCTTTCTCCAAGGTCATTGTTCCTGTACAAATACAATAGGCTGTGTTTACCTACTATCCAGAGAAGCAGGTCCATTTACTTCTTAGGTCTATGTCTCCATTTAGTCTGAGACCTTGAGGTTTTAGCAATCCTTTGTGAATGATCTGAACTTTACAAGGGTCCCTTGGCACACTGAAGATGTTACATTCTCTTGAGCTAAGTTTGAAACCATAGTCTGTGTGGATCTTATCTGTAGCTAATGATGGTCTCAAGGTGCTTCGCAGGAATTAAAAGAAAAATTCCTGGAAACACATTTTCTTCCACTCATTCTTCTCATTCCTAATTCTACCAGTGACATCCAGCTTGACTGGCATAGTGTTTCCTGCAGAGCTATTTGAAGTGAAGCTTGAGGTGCTGACCTTTGAGTATATACTGAGGCTACCAGTCTGGGACACTTTCCTCTACTCATCCAGGAATTTCATAGCAATCCATTATCTCTTATGTCTTTCACTTTTTCTTTTTTCTTCTCCCTTGAGACAGGGTCTCACTATGTAGTTCGGGCTGGTCTTGAACTATGTAGCCCAGGTTGGTCTCAAATTCATGGCAATCCTCCTGCTTCAGCCTCCCAAGTCCTGGGGTTACAGGTGTGCACCACCACAACCTGTCTTTGACTTTCTAAACTGTCAGCAACCTGAGGGAAAGATTCTTGTCTTGGTATCTATCTAGCAAAGGTGGCAATAACTACCTTTAATTCTAAATAAATAGGCCAGCTTGTCAAATTCTGAAGCTGGATTTTCCTGGCGCACATGAAGTCATCACGAGTTAAAGGAGCAATCCAAATGAAACTTGCTGAGCATGTGGTCCACACCTATAATCCCAGCACTCTGGAGGCTGAGGCAGGAAGATTGCCTCGAGTTTGAGGCCAGTGTGGGCTACGCAGTATGTTCAAGGGCAGCCTGAACTACACAGCAAGACTGTCCCCCAAAAATAAAAACAAAAAATAGTAGTAACTACTGCTGGGCATGGTGTTGCAGAATTGCTCAGTTTGGGGTCAGCCTAGGCTATATAGAGTTCAAGACCAGCCTAAACTACATAGTGAGACTGTCTCAAAAAAAAAACAAACAAAAAACCACAAGCAAAACCCATATAATTATAATCACATTCTACCACTTCCCCTAAATTAACAGCTTGGATAATGATCACTTTTAATCTGTGATACCATGTGTAGATTCCTTAGTTTATTCTGACATCCAAGTTCTCAGTTTTTTAGTGGTTTACCCAGACTTTGAAGATAGCAGGGCTGTTTATGTACCTAGTGCGAACCTGTGACCTAAGTGCCAATGTGCACATAAGTGTAGCCAAACAGCATTTATTTCCAACTTCCCTCCTAGGTTCTGCCCACCTTTTTTTTTGGTACCTGGAATTGAACCTAGGACCCTGTGCTTGCAAGGCAGGCACGGTGCCATTGAGCTAAATCCCTGGCCCCAAATGCCCACCTTTTTAAATCCAACACTCCATCCATGAAGCACTGTTTGCAACTGTAGGAACACATCGGGATCTTTCAGACTTTCTGCTCTGTCATTTCCCAGTTCATTTTCAAGGAATGACCTGGAAAAACTTGATGAAGACTGACCCAATGTCACTGAAAACTGTCCTCACGAACCAGCACCAAATAGGCAGCAGTCCACGCACAGCCAAGGCCCACTCTACCCCTCACGTACTTCTCCCATGACGCCTATCTACCTTATTCCAGTGTCCTAAAGACTAAGAATGTATCCACTGTCACTGTTTCTTCACACAGTAGCTTTATAAATGTTGAATTGGCCAGGAATGGTGGTGGGTGACTGTAACCCCAGCTACTTGGGAAGCTGAGGCAAAAAAATCAAATGTTTGAGCCCAGTCTGGGCAACTTCACAGGACCCTGTTTCAAAAAAAATAAAGGGGCTGGGGATGTAACTCAGTGGTAGAACACCCTTGGGGGCGTTCAATACCCAGTACTGCACTTTGAAGTTAAAACTAACCTAACGACTATGTATCTGAAACTAAAAAAAATACAAAAAATATATTTTATTTTCCATAAATATATTTGAAGAAAGGTTCTCAACCCAGTCCCAAATCATTACAACCTTTTTTTTTTTTTGGAGACAGGGTCTTGCTATGCAGTTCAGGCTGGCCTCAAACTCACTATGTAGCCTAGGCTGGCCTTGAACTTGCAGGGATCCTCTTGCCTCAGCCTCCCAAGTGCTGGAATTACAGGATTGTACCACCACACCTGGCAACCTGATAACATTTTCTAAAAAAAACAAAGTTGTTGCTGCCTTTACCTGTGTCAGTAAACAGGACAAGAATGCCTGCCCGGCCATTATCACTCTGGAAATAAAGGCCACACCTGGGGCCAGGTCATGGGCTTTCTAGAGGACCCCACTGGGCAAGAGGCAGGCAACCAAAAGCCAAACAAATGAAACAGGCATCTGCAACTGTCATAATCACCAGCATGAATAAGGTGCCTTAGCCAGGTGCTTATAGAAGTTGAGCAACAGGGACAGGGGAGGCCCACAAAATGTTCGTGTCTGGCTCATCAAAGACTCCTGGTCTGAGACACAGAAAATGGCTGCCTGAGTAGTCAGTCTCACTCTAGTGTAAGATAGACAGGAAGCTGGGCAAGGCCAGGAGATGGAAGGGGCCTTCCTGCCCCTCATGAGTCCTTAACTAGTGAAAGTCCCTCTGTGTTCTCTGACGGTGGTGGGGCTCCAAAGATCCTGGCAAGGAGTCCTCGGTTGGAGCGGGCCTGGTCCTGCGCAGTAGCCAGGCGAGCCCGTTCACGGCCTCCTGGCCGTGCTGCTTTCTGGGCCCTTAGCTCCTGCTCAGTAGGACGCTGGGCAAAGGTCCAGGAACTGTCTGGGCGGGCAGGATCCCCATCAGCTGCAAGGAAGCGTTGTCCTTGCTCCACACTCCGAAGGTAGAAGTCGGTCTCACGCTTGGCTTGGGCGACCTCAGCTCTTAGGCGCTGCCTGCGTACCTGGCGCTCAAAGGCTAGGTGTTCACTGAGGTGGGACCAAGTAAAACGGTGCAAATACTATGGGCCAGAAAACAAGAAAAGTTCAGGATGGGGCCGATCAAGAAGGGAAAAGAAATGAGTGCAGGCCTGAGGCCAAGAAAAGCTCACCAGCATGAGGAGGAAAGGAGTGGAAGGGTGGCAGATAGGCCTGTCTCCTCACCTTGAGGTTCCAAAGGTCATAGCGGAAGGGGCTGCGCCTGCGGGCACCCATGGGCGTGTTGTGCAGACTTGCAGCCACACGCTTGGCTACGCGCTTATCCCGGAACTCCACCCAGCCCTCAGTATAGTCCTTGCTGTACTTCGATCCCTTTTTTCCTCCTGAGGCCGCTGCTGCTTTCTTCTTGCGTCTCACGAACCTGTCTGTGCACCAAAGACAAAGTCACAATAGAGAAGGCCAAAGCAGCACTCCAATCACCTCCAGTCTCCAAACCTGCTGCCCTGCATCGAACCTCCCAGTCCTTGAGCTAGACAGATGAGCTAAGGTTTCCTTTCTCTAACTATCAGCTTCTTAATCAGCCTCCCTGAACACTATTTAAAATCCACACCAGCTCCCAACCCCGATTTCAATTGCCACCCTAAGGGGATGGGGTGCTAATTATAACAGCTTCTTGATCCGTGCCATGATGCAAAAGGTATGTGTTCAATTTTGTAGAAATGTCCCTTTAGCCAGGCATGGTGGAACACACCTATAATCCCAGCACTTGGGAGGCTGAGGCAGGAGGACAGCTGTGAGTTGGAGGCCAGCCTGGGCTACACAGTGAGTTTGAGGCTACCCTGAACTACATAGCAAGACCTTGTCTCAAAAAAAAAGAAAAAGAAAAAATGAAATGTCCCTTTAACAGAGGTGTGTGGTGGGCGCACTTAAGCTGGAGTTAAATTTTATTCTTCCTAAAGGTCCAAAGCGGTAGGGGAAGTGGGAGGGGAAGGGGGATGGAAAGAGGGGAAAGGAAAAATCATGAGAAAAGAAAAAAATGGAAACAAAGTCTTTGTAACTAAGGAAGGGTGGAGGGGGGTAAGGGTGCACAGGTAATGCGGAAAAAATAAGAACCAAGATACATCATGTACAGGTACAAGCACACAATGATAAATGTAAACACATTGTATACCTAAAATGTACCAATAAAAGAATTTAAGCAAAAAGAAAAAACCAATTTATTCTTCCTTACAGCGTAGTGTTAAAATAAATGGCCTAAAGAACAAAAGCATTCTGGAATGTATGCAGCAGAGGTGGCAGCACTGAAACTGAGGCCAGGGGATTCTGCCTCTGGGGTAAGCTAGAAAATCTTGAAAATATTATTTTTCCCTGTGGCACAGTCAGGGTGAATACAATAATTATTTTTGTGACTAGAAACCGACCACTATAATTTTTGTATCAGTGGACAAGGAGATTCAGTGCTTTTATACATATTCCTTGCATTTAAAACATAGGAAAGCTTAAGGAGATAAAACTAGTCAAGTAACGGGACAGAGCATTTGGCTCCGTGGTTCTGTCACCTGCCTCAAAAGGGCAAGGTCCCGAGTTCAATCCCCGGTACTACAAAAAACAAAAACTAGTCAAGTACTTTACAACAACTATGCTAAAAGTTCAGTATATCACTATGTACCTACAGTTTGTTAATACAGTGTCAGCATTCTGTATTCACATGTATTACTTTTCTACATTTTAATACATCTGCTTGCATATTTAAGATTGTGACAAATTTGTGCTGCTCTTAGTATATACAATGCACCTGACTTTATTATTTTACTCTTGTACATAAAGAAAAGTGTTTTGTACATTAAGAAAAGTGTATACGGAAAATGTATACAGCCTTTGCTATTTTAGGCTGATAAACTGTTAAAAATGTCGTCCTTCTGCCAAAATGGTGGAATATGTGATTGGTAAATCATAAATCCTGTGGTGAATGGGGGTATAATTTAAAGCTTTCACCAGGTTATATTTTCAAGACATTAATTTAGTAATTTTATATTTGGCGAAATAAAAGTTTTTAATTTTATTTAACTAGAATCACTGCCCTACTGAATTAAACACTCTGTACAACATCTATATTAAAAATAACATTGCTCATTTCCTGAAAAAAAAAAAAAAAAATAAATGCCCCTGAGATTTGTATACAGGATGTACTCATTCAACACATTGCAGAGGTTCAGATAGGCGGACGGAGCCAGGATTAGAACCCAAAAACTATCGGAGAAGTAAACCCCGCCAAGGCCCCCATTCCCCCCTATCCCGCTCCGCCACAACCTCCTAAGAGACAGGCGCATTACCGATTCACCAGCCAGAAGGAGGGAGCCAGGCCGCTCCAAAGCCAGCAGCTCGCACCGCAAACCTACGTAGCCCAGGCCACAGAACGCGCGCCATCCTCCTTTCTTCGCGCCCGGGCCTACCCACTTACCCTCGGCCTGAAAGAACACGCGTCCGACCTCACCGTAGGCGCTCAGCAGGTTGCGTACGTGTAGGGGTCGGAAGCGAGGCGGGATGTGACCCAGGTACACGATACCTGGCACTGCCCGCTTCTTGCTGCCGCGAGCCGCTTCTTCGGGTTCCTCTTGCTCCTCTTCCACCTCCGATTTCTCGTCTGTCCCTTCCAGCGGCTCCCGCTCAGATCCCCCGGCCGACATGCTTGCTGATACGTGGAGCACGACAGGCCGTTAAGCAGCAGGTGCGAGTGACGCGCACTATGCGCGACGCCTGCGAAGAGGGGGCGGGGCCGAGGCGTGACGACGGCGGAAGAGCTGTGCGTGGGACAGCTCGGGCGAGGCCGGGGCGGGCTCTCGGGGTTTAACCTCGGTCTCGGGCGCCCCGGTGAGGTCCGAGCAGGCGGGGCAGCAGGCTGTCCGGAGAATTTCAGAACCAGTTTTTAGCCGCTTCTAAAGTTTGCAAATACCTATATTTTAGGTTTGGCTTTGACCGTTTAGAGTATTCTTTTTGTTTTTTGAGACAAGGTCTCCCTTTGTAGCCTGGGCTGGCCTCGAACTCCTGGCGATCCTCCTGCCTCTGCCCCCCCCCCCCCCCGAGTGCTGGGATTACAGGCGTGCAACATCACTCCCGGCAATTTGAAGTATTCTTGAAAGTTTAATTTAGGAGGTTTTTTTTAAATTTAGAAATTTGAAAATGTGGTTTAACTTTGCAAGTTTGATTTCGGAAATTTAATTGGATTTAATTTTTGAAATATGAAGTTGTGACCTTTTAACAGTATACCCTTCTAAATTGGACTCTTTGCATGTCTTAAAAACCTGAGTACGAGATAAATGTGTGAAGAGTTCGTCCGGCGCCTGTGATCCGTGGTCGCCTTGCCGCCCTCTGCGCCTCCCTTGCTGCCTGCGCTGCCCTCGGATCCCCCGCAGGCCCGGTGGCACCGCTTTTCTGTCCACGCCCTGCGCACACAGCTCGGAGGCGGCGGGCTACACCGACGCCGCTCCGGCCACCTTCCATGCGTCTGGACCCGGCCGCTTGGCCCCCCGCAGACGTGGCCGGGAACCTCGCCCAGACGATCCTGGCTGCGCTCTGAAGGCTAGGCCGAGCCCGAGGTCGGCCGCAAAAGCGCGCCCTGGCTGCGGCCTGGCCCAGCTCCCCAGCCCGCTCCGAGTGCGGCGTGGGTGACCAGGATTACAGGGCGAGGTGAGGCGGCGGCATAGGCCCAAGTGTGCTCCGGTCTACGACGCCAGGCGTTGAGCTTCTTAGGAAAGGAACGTCGGGGGTCTAATAAATAACCAGAGCCCGAGTTCTCGCAAGCCTGTTTGATTAATGTTATTAAAGAGAACCCTCTGCCCGTTGTTGCCTGCTCAGACCTTGCTCCACTTCAGTTAACCCCCAAGCCTTCTAAGCATGAAAATAGCGAATGAATGGGTGAACGGAGCTAGGGGGCAGATGGTGCGCGCGTGCCCCTCAGTTGTGTCTGTTGGGTGGCATTTGATGCCATTTTATCTACTTTGTGGAGTCTCCAAAAAGAACATTGAAAGTCTTGTGCAAGGTGCCTATCAAACCCCACACTCATTACCCCTCCTCAACTCGGTGAAAAGTGAATTGAATCTTCCTTCACCGACTATCAGTATGAATTAGGCGACAGTCTGTGAAGAGACCTTTGGTCCGTGTGCATACCATGACCGAAGACCATTGAATTAGTTTCTTAAATCTTGAACCCCACAGTTCAAACGCCAATTACTGCTCACCGTTAAGGTTTGCTTTTTTTGTTTGGTTGCGTTTTTTTTTAAGCTCTCAGGATCGAGGAGCCTTTCAAAAGTTGACTCCTTCGAGCCGGATTCGAACCAGCGACCTAAGGATAACTACAGATAAACACCTACAGTCCTCCGCTCTACCAACTGAGCTATCGAAGGGCACTGGGAAAGCGGCCTTCAAGATATTTTAAATACTTAACTAGTGACTTTTTAGAACATATTCTTGTTAGGAAAATAGGCATACATGAGCAAATTTATTCGCGTATTTATTTATTACAGTATCTAAAACTGATCAGAGCGGTGATCATATACATAGATATAAAAATTCATTCTCTTAAACTTTTAAGATTTGTACCCTTTACTGTATGTTTCACATAGGTCTTAAAATCTAGCACCAGTGTTGTGTGTCCTGCTTCCTTAGGTATAACACCTATGGTCCATCGGCCTTTTGTGCTTGTTATCCTGCTGTTTGGTCTACTTTGCATTTTCCCTCCATGGAAAGTAAATGATAATGCTACAGTCATCCTAAACACAGACAGCTGGATTGTAGACGATTGGACTTGCCATCTTTAAGCGGCGTTACCACCTAGTTAATTTGGGAAACATTGCGGCTCTTCTTTCTAAAGTACAAAGAAAAGTAGAGCTAGGCATAAATGCACTAGACACAAAGCAGAAGTGTTTCGTATGTGCGCGCTTAGGTATTGAATGGCTTACATTACATTACACAAAACTATAGTGAGACAAATACATGAAACATACCTACACCTCAAATCTTAGAAAGGCAAGTGTTTCATTCATGGGTATGCAGTTATGCTTTGCTACCAAGTGTTTGTGGTGGCATTCAAGTTCTGGGGACCTATAACAAATGAACCCTGAAGTTACATGGTGAAACTTTTTCTGGAGGTCATAAAAATTTTAATGCATGAATTATTAAGTTTATGGGAAAGATTTCTGGTGAGTTATCTAAAAAGATCATCTCGTTAAAATTCAGGTGCTCAGTAACTACAGTTTTGGAAAATTAAAATTTTCTTCAAAAGATCCTGTCCAGTGAGTCCCATAAGAAATCTTTGCAGCAATGCTAATACTGCTTAATTCAGTCACTCAGCTCCTTCCCATGAGAAACTAAGAATGTCTGGGAAGTTTCTTTCCAATAATGTGTGCTAACCTAGTGTCACTGTCCAAAGCAGCAGTCTGCTTTCTCACACACACTGCTGAATCTTGGACACCACTGAATCTTGGAAACAGGTGAGCTGTATTTGCCCCATTAACCCACAAGATAGCAGTTTGCACATTCTCTCAAAAAAAGGCTTCGCCAATTTTCAAAAGGGGCAGCAATGAGGCTGGGAAAAAAAAAAAAAGAACCAACATTTTCCCCATCAGCCTCTCATCCAGATGCTACTGGCCTGCTGCTGCTTACTTCTTTTTCTGTCACTGCCTTCTGATGTCTATACAATTTATCTTTTAAGCCTGGACATCTCGTCTACTCTGAAAGAGTAACTGGGTGAATGATAAGGATCTCTGTGTGGTTTGTGGACACTGCAAGGTGCCTAGAACAGCGCCTCTTTTAAGGAGCACTTATTTATTGAATGAATAAGCCACGTTCTTAAATTGAGGATAGCGTCCTAATGGAAGCGCACATCTGAATTAAATGTTATGAGGAGGAAAAACAAGGCAATGAACACCTTCTGCACTTCCGACCGCCGGGTCTTACCTCCCTTCCTACCCACGCAGATTAGGGAATGGGAATAGTAATAGGTAATTTGGAAATCTCCATCCTCAGAAATTTCAAAGTGGAAATTCTTGGGAACCATGGAACACTGCTGTCTATGTCTCTTTTCAAATGCTCTCTACTGTATTTTTCATTCAAATAAGGAAAAAAATAAAGTCTGTCGTCATGTGTTTCAGAACACAAAAGTGTATGAAGCAGTGTAGAGCAGTGGGTGGGGAGAAAGATGCTCGCTTGTGGCCACCGGTTTCAGCCACCGCCTCTCCTGTCTTCCCTTAAAGCCAAGCGAACTTTTGTTGTTCTCTTGACAATATTTTATAATTTTATAATCTTTATCTGTATATGTCACTGTACACACAAAACGCCCTCCTCTTGAAGAGCAAGCGATTGGTTACCGCGGCTGCTCCGACAGGTCCAACTCCGACTGTGGAAGCAGCTCAGGAACAGGGGTGGCCGCTGCGCCTGGCTCGGGATCTGAGGGTCTGCGTGGGCGCGGCCAGGGGGCGCCCGGGACTTCTCCGAGTCCACAGGGAGGCGCATTCTGTCCTCGCAGCCCGGCCTGCGTCAGCTCAGGACTCCCCTCGCGTCCCTGCCTCGGGAACAGACCTAACCATGCCTTCAGGACCAATCCCCCACCCCCGGGCCCTCGCTACCCCCAGTTCCTTGCTCAGGTCCACATTGCCATCAGTGTCCATCGGGGGTCCCGACACAGTTGTCCACCCCATCTCCACCTCGTTAAAGCACGAAGCTGCCCAGAAGCACAGAAGCGAGCGGCAAGCGTGTGCCCAGTGGTCAGCGGCCGGGGGACACGCTCCCCAGGACAGGTGCCCCCACGCCCTGGGGATCTCAGCGCACGTCTCTGCGCTACTCTTCAACCTCGAGGGAGACAGCGTCCCACTGTCCTCTCCTCCTGGGACACGAGTGAACACTGTTACCCTTCGTCTTTCAGTTCACACTGACCCCTTCTAAACCCATCAGCAGCAGACGAAGTGAGGCGACATCTTAGGTTAGGGTAAATGGTCGGGATGACTGGGGTATTCGGGGTACACGGTGCACAGGGGACTGTGGGTTTATTTGATGGATACGTACCAAGAGGTTTTGCTTTGGGACATATTTGAAATGTTCTCCTGTAAAATTCTTTTAAAAGTACCAAAGTAGCAGAGACTCCAAAGACTGTCGCTCGCGCTCCGCACCCCAGCCGCGCGCGCCTGCACTGAGCGCAGCAGCGCGGGCTGCTTTGCTGGGGGGGGGGGGTTAGCTCGGAGGACAAGAGACGAGGTCGAGGGTGAAACTGCGTCTGGTCAGCAGTAGAGGGGAAGCAAGAATGGAGTGCATAAGCAGGAGCCGGCAGGGCCCCGGGGAGGGAGGGCGGCAGGGTGCCTAGAGGTACGAATTTCACAAGTGAAAGTCGGGAGGAAAAAGACTTCTACCACGCTGTTTTCCTGCCACTCAGCTGCCCTTCCCTGCAGCAACCAAGTTATAGCTTTCGTACGTATTTTACGTATATAAATAAGGTAACCATGCTTCGTGTTCTAGAAACAGCAGACTGGCTAGTGTGTGTCTAGATCCTTGTTTTTATGAAGATTCGACATTCTTGTTTATGGGAAAAAGCATACTCGTCAAAAGAAGTATCACCGTCCTTCTAGCCAGATTCGAACCAGCGACCTAAGGATCCCTGACACAAAACAACTACACTTCTTTATTCTACCAACTGAGCTATCAAAGGAGGGGTAGGTCCTTTCTTTTTAAGGATTCCAAAAGTAAG